TATATAGATATATATATCTATATATGTATACATGTTTATCTACATGGGGTATCACGACCTAACGGTCGTGGTTATAAAATATAGGTATACCTATACGCGAGTATTATGATATAGATACATACATAGTATTACTAACATTGTTGCACCTACAGATATATAGGGGTCCCGTACAAGTCACTTGATATATGTCCATTTGTTGTAAGTCCAACTATAGGGCCCATTTGTTACACATACGTGAACCCAAAAAAAATTGTACCGAACTTTGAACGTCTGGGAATTGTGGCTTGCAATTCAAGGCTGGTGTCAGGCTAGAGCATATCAAATACTGCCGAACACTGAAGTTCATTAACTCGCCCCACCCGCAGATCTCACGTTACCCATCCGAGCCGTACCCGACTCAAGCGCCGTTGCCAAGGCAACCATGAGTAGCATTGTGTGCGTACGGGATCTGCTCATGTGCATGCAGCAAGCGGGGCAAATGTATGAGATGCAGGGGGCCTTTAGAGAGGCTGAGTACTACTACAAGGACGCACTGAACATTGCACGGGCGCATGGATTGAAGGGTGTGGCTACACAGCTGCTGCTGCGGAGAGCCGACATCGCCAGCAGGTAGGTAGACTTTGAGAAGACGTATTTTACGATGTCACTTTCACGCTTGTGTGGGTAAATAAACAAGTTGATTTGTAATCCACACAAAACTATCATGTTATATATATGTGTGTGTGTGCGTGTGCGTGTGTGTATATATATATGTATGTTTGTATGTGTGTATGTGTGTATGTATGTATATATATGTGTGTGTATGTATGTATGTATGTATGTATGTATGTATATATGTATATATATATATGTATGTATATATATGTATACAAATATGCATATATATGTATATATATATATATATATATATGGATGTATGTATGTATGTATGTATATATATATACGTGTGTGTGTGTGTGTGTTTGATTTCATAATTTTAGCATATTTGTATCTAATCTCCTGGTTTATGCTAGTATACCATTAGTTCAAGTTCTGAAGGCTGAAACTACGCAACTTTTTTTTTCTCAGGAGAAATGAGTATCAGACTACATCTGATATGTTAGCAGAGGCCACCTTGCTTTTGGGCCAGCCACACCAGAATCTAAAAATAGAAATTCCAACCGGACAAGCACTCGCGTCGCAAATACACAGCGGGAAGTACGAGGGGGTGGCTGTGGAGGCTAACACGCCTTCAAAGTTCGGTACAATAAGTCTTATTCCGTCACGTGAGGATTTAATGGACACAGACGAGGACCTCGCACAAGTAGGGAGTTCGACTACGACACCAATCAAGGGGGGGCTGGAGCCGAAGAGGTGTTTGGCTGGGGAGTTAGTGGATATCACCAACACGCACACGTTTACGCACAGGCGCTCAAGCACACACACACGCACGAGTCCTAAGGGAACGTTGCCACAGAACGTTATCTACGATACACCCAGCACGTTAACATGTACCGCCTCTTCACTGACAAAGGATGGCGCAGGAGACAACCCTGCCCTCCCTCAGATGGAAACGGGACAAAGTCCCGTTCTGGCCCAAAAAGGCGCACAGGACAGTCCTGAACCCATTGGAAATGGACTGGAGGACCCGCCTGTAGCGCTGCCCTGGCCGGTCATGCGCACGCGAGTGGATACGTCACTCGGCATGGCAGCTGTGTATATGAGCTGTGGTGATATGGTGCTTAAGAGAGATAACAATTTCCAGGAGAGCCTTCGCTTGTACCGCCTGGCCTTGAAGTGCCTAACAGGTGTGTGTGTGTATATGTCTATATATCTATATCTATATATATATGTCCATGCATGTGTCTGTGTCTGTGTCCTTGTCTGTCTCTCTCTCTCTCTCTCTCTCTCTATCTATCTCT